TGTTTGACCAAAGGTTTGCAGAACTCGCCACCTGGCAATATAGCAAGATAATTACAAATAACTTCCTCATTTGAGTTGCTGTCGCGATGTGCGCAGGCTCTTCTATGGCCTTATGCCATTCTTTGTCATCCGCTGATAAGCCATGTGCGTTGCATGTGTCTTTGAACTTTGTATATGTCACCCCTCCAACAGTCAATAGATCTTCGAAGCATGTAGGACCTTTTAAAACATTAACCAAAATTCGCAGGTAGTAGACTTCTCCAGCAGTTGGATGTATGTATGCAACTCTCCCTATTGATGCTCTTTGCTTCCGGGGTGTCCAAATTTTTCCAGAGCTGTGATAGACGAACATTGTTGGGAATTCTACGTAGGTGAGATCGCGGCCATCTTCGTACTTGTCGTTGGCCTCCATCCAGGCGGTGAACATAGTTCTCTCTATATCTTCTCGCAGTAAAACATTGTCTAAATCATCAGACTGATCAAATACCACTCTTTGTTGATTTAGCAGGTGAATTGTTAAATTCATTACAGATGGCAGGTTGTAGTGAATGTGGAAGGCGAATAATCTCCACGCGGCTTCACAGGCTGAGACATAACAGCAGTCAAGGTACGCATCAATCTCATTAGTTGTCGATTTGTCTGATTTGTTCCCATGGTGTTCACTTCCTTTTGCTGTAGCCTTTTCAATCGCAATTGTAGCTTTGTCCACGCCTTTTGTGATGTACTTGAAAAGGTATTTAATTGCACTTGTTTTACAGCATCACTCCACGTTGATATGCGCCTTGTATTTCTTCAACAGTTCCAAGTTATGAGGGACAACATGGCGATTATCAAGTCTCGAATCACCTTTCATAACATACGCGGACTCAATATGTCGACGCCTGTATACAACGAATCCTGATTTGTCTACGGTGGTATGTTCAGAGAATGCCTTGGGGTAGTTTTTGGTGCACTCACCCTTTTCCATACATGGCGAGGTAAGCCGGTTCTTCCAAGGTCCATGCATCATATGACGCTGGACTAATTCAAAACCTTCCCTATCTGTCTCTTTGTCTGGTATTTCTGCTGAAATATATTGGTCGATCAATGCTGCAGTTGGTTCCTTTATCTTTTCTTCAAACCATAAGAGAATGTGTGCATGAGGCAAGCCTCGCTTTTGGAATTCAATAGTGTAGACAACTGTACATGACCGATAATTAAAAATACTGGTTAGTTTTTAAAGTCTCTTTCTATTTTAAAGTCTCTTTCTAGTTTTTGGAATTTCAAGTCTACTTTAAGTACTCTGCATTCTAGATCTGGCCTGCTGTTTGCTGATTCGCCGCCATAAGCTTGTAGGTGTTCACTTATTTCTGACCAACTCGAGTTTGCAGTAAAGGTTATGAATAAGTTTGGATTTCCATACCATCGACAAATAGCCATTGCATCATGGTACTTCTCAGTCATGTAGCGTGGACCAGCAGTGAACTATGACGGCAAGATAACCTTCTTCCCCACCTTTTTGGCGTCGGTGTCCCCCCTCTCAACTGCATCACAGACATTGTTGTATAAATCTGCCTGCAATTTTTTTGGTTCAGACGGATGTAGCGTAATCGTTCTTGTTCAGTTGCTGTGTAGGCATCTACAATGTACTGATGCAGTAACCGGCCACCTTTAATGATCGTCATTCCTTGAGTCAATCTCGGTTGCAGTTGGTAAGCATAATACTCCCTCATTGTCATACATTCCCTCTTTATTTTTGTGCCGTCTGTGGTTGAATATCGAATCTCATTATGGTACCCTTGTTCACCATATGGAGATAACAGGGGATACTGGAGGCTCATAAAAAGGAGGTGTAGATCACTGATTATTTGAAGAGAAGAAGACTTGAACTGAAGAACAACATCTCTGTCTCCGCTGTTTATTGTAGTAAGGCCTCCAATCTCATCAGCACTGGGTAGATCATACTGTCGGCCACGATGCTTCTGACTGACCAGTCGTATATTAAACTCCATTGTCTCCTCTGATTCATAGCGATCCCGTGCATGGCGGAATATCTTGGCTAGATGATTGTGTTCATATAACATCTTGATCAGCTGTTCCACAATCTTCTCATCAACTCTGACTGTCGCAGCTCCACGGTTCATTGCTTTGATTCGATTCTGCACTTATTTGCTGTGTCAAAAATAAATAGTTGTAGGAACTGCGGTGGTGCACCATCTACCGGCAACAGCGATCCGATTTGGTGGTGAATCTGGCCATGTATTCTGTATGTAAATGGACCTTGTGTTCCCGTCTCCGTGTGATCAACTTTAGCTCTCATTGAAGTGAATGCTAGATTTTCGTTTACAACACGGATAGTTGGCCTGAAACCCGGGGATTCTAATAGTTCCTTTAATGGAGATGGAGGCTCTTTAACAGGTGGTAATTTAACACGACCTTGCTGACAACAAATGCTGAACTGTTTTGTGGAGGCCGTGGTAAGATTCCCGACAGCTTCTCCTTTCCAAACTAATGCCTCACAAAATGCACAAGTGACTAAATCTGAGACGTTCGACTGTGAGCTGCTTTGACGCCCTGGCAATGGTTTCACGTGATGGTGTTATGCATTTTAAAAAGCTCTAAGGGAAGTCACTGAAGCAGAAGCGGTCATAATAAGGCGCATGGTATGTACCTGTACACATTCCTTTATTTTTGCAGGGCCTGCAATTTATGATTTGAATTCTCATATTAGTTGTGGTTTCATATGTCTACAGTTTCAATATACTGTCACTGTATATTGACAATATCTACATCTATATTTAGATGGGGCCAAATATGGTAAAGGAAAGCATGTCGACATGCCTGTTTTTTTTAAAGCTTTTTTACATGCTCTTAAAGCCCGGCGAATTTTGCGAGCTTCCTTGGCCGTCGCTGGGAAATGTATTGGATACAGAGGTCAGATATCAGTGTTGCAAATTCGCTGTGGTACTGCAGAGTTAAAGGGATACCTTTATCCGTGGGCGTGGTGTCCCTGGTAGCTACATTTATACCAGTGTATTTGTCATTTTTCAGGGCTAGCCATGGAGGTATCCACGTTTTCTCTTCAACACCTGCTAATATAACATGTGTGTCCATTCGTTGTGTGCAAACATTAATACAGATATTACATAATAACTTACAACGATTCTTCCCCGTCGAGTTCGCCGTTGCAGTGGACCTTAGTCTTCTGGATTGCAGTGCAAGTGCCCCTGTAAAATTTATAAAAAGGTATTCCTGTTGTTCAAGACGTAAAAGATTTGAAAATGCAATCTACCGATTGTGTTTTTGTTCAGTGTTGACGCTGTCATTTTTGCTCTCCGATGCTCTCTAGCTCTCTTAGCAAGACCTTACAAATTGCCATAGAGGATTTATATGTCTGTTATAGTTACTGTGTAATTGAGTTCCGGCGGCCTGTCTTTAAATCCAGGATACCTGCCCGTTCCGGTGACTTGATGATGTGGTGCATTGAGAGCTCAGGAGAGGCTAAAAATTCAGATGACAGCCAAGGTTATCTTCTCTCTCTTTGTATGCCACCTGTATTCAATAGCAAGCTTGTTCTAAGCATCTGCATCCCGGTTCTTTGTTTTGTAGTTTGTATTGTTACCTTGTTTTCTTTGATGAGAGCTCTTGGACGATGTCTGCAATTTAGCTGAAGTCTTACTTGCTGGTTTGGGTGCTTCTCCGCCTGTGTAAAATGCTTTCCCTTTCTTTACCATGGTGTTCGTTAGTATAAGGACGTGGTTCAACAATGGAGAGGTTAATGTATTTCTACATTATGTAGGTATTCGGTTGTAACTGAGAAACTTAAATTGTAATTACACCAACAGTTTGTTTTTGACGCTATTAAATAGGTATTTAATCATTTGGGTGGAGGTGTTGACTCCGTAACGGTTAACATTTTTCATTGCACGCATGACCAAGGCGATAACTAATGAGGTGGTGATATGGGCACCTAGTAATATTACTTCACGTGTAGACTATGTAAAAGGAGACTATGTAACCTAAGTATTCTTATTGCCAATGATACAAACTTTGAAGCTGTCCGTGAAATACTATACATCTTTATAAGGCTCAAATTGGCCATCCGATTGTCTTAAACCCACAGTCTTATTACATCATCGATTTTACCCGATACCCTTGTCTTCTGTTGTAAACATATATAATATGTCTTCATAAACTATTGTCAGTGGTTGTGCTTACCAAATCCCCCTTTGTTATATAATATTATTACGGTCTAGTTAGCATAGAGCAAAAATCAAAATGAAGCATTGTATTAATTTAAACTTGTTACATAGAAATGAAGGCACTATATTACATAGCTATATAGAAAAGGGAAATAGACGTGAGGGTGATGCGGGGGGCTAATTATTCTGAAATGATAAGTGTGCAAGTGGACTTCTATCCTTTCTGCAGCTACTCTTTCCTAGCTTTCTTCACGGCTTGTAACTCAGCCGCTACTACTCCATCAGCACCCATGGTGTTGCCCGGAAATCCACTGCCAGTTCTACTTGTTGGGTTCTTTATGCCGTCTGCGTGGTCATGGGACTCTTCGGAGCGGCTAATGCCTCCTTGGAACTCGGCACCATCCTGTATATATATGTATGAGTCTGTAGCAGTTCTGGTTGCAGTTTATTATGGGCTCAAAGTGCATTCACGTAATGAACCACAAACCTGCGTCTCAAATTTGGGGGTCGGTATAGCCTGAGGAGCACTGAAGATGCGAGAAATAGTAAAGGATTGATGTTTTGGTGTGAAGTTGTATTCCGAGAGTTTCAGCTGGAACATGTATGTCTTTCTCACAATATTTGTGATAAATGGAGGCGGAGTGCTGTGGCCATTGTCCTCCCAACCTGCATCCTGCAGAAATTGATGGTATAGAATAATACCATGGTTTGGGAGTATTAGTTTGAGGGCAATCATACCATTGTTGCTCCAGCATCAGCTGCGCGGACACTTGTCAACTTTGTCATGTCTGTGTCGAAAGCAACAAAAACTGCATTGTCTTTGCTATCACAGACGACCAACTCAACTCGATACCTGTGGAAAGTTTGAAATTATGAGTTGTAGATATGGCTGTCGATATATAACATGTCTTAGAGTTAGAATACCTTATGACTCCCACGGCATTGGGGTTGTGGCAAACATAGCAGGTAAATGTAGAGTTCCTGCGCACCAGTTTTTTGGAACACTTGGGGCAAGATACGTAACACCACCCGTTCTGAGTTTGGATGTCTATGACTTTGCTTGTGCAAATGAAATCAATAGCCTGTGTGGTCGTAAAAGAAGTCAAGGGTAGCGGATATGTGTTCCAATATAATGTTTATGTAGTAATAGAACTTCATTATGCCCAGGTTTAGTGTTTGTTACCTGAGCTGGAGATTTCAAAATGAAGTCATTAAGCTCCACAACTGTTATGGTTTCAAGCTTCTGGACGCCAACCTTCTTCGAGACTGTGGTGATGGAGTCTTCCATTGCTGTCCTGGGGATGGTGCAATGTCTGAGAAATAAGATGTAGTTATGTACGATGATCAAATACATAAGATTCTGGAAGGGTTCTTACTGGTTGGTGTAGTTTTGGGATGCCTCAACAACATTGTCGAAGAAGAAATGGGTCCCTGATGTTGCGTTGAGGAAAAGTTTTCCTGGAAATGATACATCGTTTGGCTCATACCAGTTCCCTGAAGATAAGGGTATCTATGAATTATAAATATTTTTTTAACCATGGACATACCTCCGACGAATTTGGGGTTGATATTAGTGGCAAGGATGACGCGGGGCTCACCACCAGCACGCTGGAGTTTCTGGTTTAGCTGTTTTGCTAATGCATCGAATGCACTAAGTGTGACGGGGATGTCGCTGCGTGCATATGTTGTAGATGGGGTAAGAAGTCGGAACACTTCGGTAGAATAAGTAGGCAATGAAGTCTGTAATGGACTTACTTTGAAAGGCGGAGCTGGATCATTATATGTTCTGTTATCTGGGTCTCTCCATTTTGAATGGACTTTATCATACTCAGTTCGCCGATGACATCTAAAATAGGGACAGTGGATCTTATTAATATAGACTCCCGAGTATCATGTCAACGTATCTAATTATATGTTTAACCAAACTCACCTGGAAGTTCCGAGTTTGAGTTCACGAGGCTCAACAACTCGTCATAGCTGCGGAACCACAACATCTGTTTCGGTATTGAGGATTCCGAGTTTGGGACCTCGACGAAGCTGGTATCGGATGTGAAACGGATGGAAAATTTGGAGTCGCATAGCTTGAAGTTGTTGTTACTGCGGGTGACATCGAAGCCCCTCATAGTGTAAATTGAACCTTCCCGTAGAAGGTGTTTGAAGGTGTTTAGACAATGAACGTTGATGGACCCTTGGGTGACAGTGGACTGCAAAGTAAGTTACCAACAAACTTTAAGACACGCAGAATACATTGGAGAGAGACACGCAGAATTGAGTTTGAAAGATTCTAATGAGGTACTACCTTCTCGTCAAGGAAGAGCATGTCTACACCAAGCAGCTCACCGCCTTTCTTAACGTTCCGGGCCTCCCAAAATCGGAGGAGTCTAGCAACTACTGGCTGAACACAGTGGTCAGCTTTCAGGTCAGCAAGAAGGAGAGGGGAGTTAGCCATATCTGTCTGTGTTAGAGCTGCGGAAAGAGGAGAGTGGTTGATGAGTATGACATTACAATGCTGAAAGATGTTATTTATAGGCATCCACAGTGAGGGGCCATCAGCAGTGCGAATTGAAGACTGATGGCGAGGAATTGTGCGATGGCAGTTACAGATGTAGTTATAATTGTGACTGTAATGGTGAAAAGAGGAGTGATTACCCGTATTTAATGAGTGAAACGGCTAGCACATTGACCGGCGCTGTAATCACAACGTGCTCGTGCGGTTGGACATCTCCAGATGATCAAATCATGCACCGCTAGATGCTAGGTTGGCCTTCGGCAGCACCAATCGCCGTCACGGAGAAAGTAGAAAGGCAAAGGAGAGAGGCGAAGTGTAGACAGAGACGAAACGTCGGGGGAGAGCAGTAGCTACTTCTGGGCTGATAGATGAATTACAGGCCCATTCTAAAAGATATAGCCCAATTACTGGATCAATTACCGGCACGTCGCTCCGACCCAAAGATGGCCTTCTACAGACATGCTGAGGTGGCATAAAATTAGCAAGGGTGTAGATGACGTGTCAGAGTAAGAAGAGAGAAAACTCTACTTTATATATATAGATTTTATCGTTGACTGTTTATCTGACGTCGAATTTCTCAGATTAAATCCTTATTTGAATGTACTGGTGTTGGATTATGATTTATAGCCTCACTGATATAATACTCGGGAGAGCCTTATACTGCGTGATAAGTGTTGGGCTAAATTTTATCAAAGCTCAATGATTTATTAATTTAGTAGAGTGTGAAAAGAAAAAAAAACAGAGATTATACACTTAGTGTATTAGAGGAGAGAAAATTGTTTTTGGCTCAAGATTGTTTTAAATTGCTGGTCAACCAAACAATTTAATTCAATATTGATTGTCTCCTTTATTCATTATTGACTCATAATCAATTTGCATTTGTAACCCTCACATACCTCCATTATTGCCAAGATTTATTGGACAAAACTATAAGACTATATAAAATGGTTGTCTTTTTTATTTTCTCTCATGCATTTTTTTTTCTTTACACCAATAAAAATTCACACCAAACATAGCAATTTTTCTCTCATTTTTCATTCTTCTCAAAAGTAAGCCCGAGCAAATATCATATAATAATAAGTTCATCGATTCTATAATCGGGTGCTGCGATTATAGTTTCAAGTGGTTGTATCTTAAGATTCGTTATCCCATACACCACCACACTGCAGAAGATATTTTAGATTAAGAAAAAAGTTCAACTCACCTCCACTTCGTCGTTTTTTCCCTTAAATCTATTTCATTTACAAAAACTTTTCCCAAAAATCATCTCTATTTCCTTTTGCAATATTTTTGTCTCAAATATTTTACGCCAACAGTCTTAATCCAAAAAATCCGATTCTATTATTGGATCCTATATTGCAAAATATTTTCTTCTTTATTACGATTTTTAGAAAAACGTGTTCTCCTTCTAGGAAACACTTTCTGCGACAATCAAAAAGATGGGCTATCGCTGATCGTTTCCATGATTTAAAAAAAAAAACGATTCTCATGTACAAAGAAATGATTTTCACAAAAATCAAAACGATTCTCATATACAAAGAAACAATTTTCACAAAAATCTTTGGCAAGGCACGCAAAATGTTATCTTTCATAAAGATCAAAACAATCTTAAACCGTAGACGGGACATTGTCTAACAACTTCCCTAAAACGTCTACAACTCGTCTTGGTACGCCGTCCGACTACATCCATGAATGATTTTCGAGTTTAAAAACTCAAAGCGATTCTAGGAACGCATTATAGTGATATCAAAAGAACACCATAGTTTAGCGATTTATAATTTTTAATCGCCATTTACTTGATTCTATTCTACGAATATGACATTTTTTCTGTCTCTTTTTAAATAGATGTCAATCAACGTTGAAAAATCTATAACTGAAGGAAACGTTGATGTTGGTGAGTCAACACCCAAAGTTGTTGGAGATGTACCACTCGGGTCTCTGCCCACAAAGATTACGTCTTTAGCTAGCGTTGTAGTCGCAGGTTTCACACTAGACAAGTTTGATGGTACCAAATTTAAACAATGGCAACAAAGAATGCATTTTTTCTTGTGCACCTTGCACTTTGATAAGTATCTCACCAAGGACAAACCAGTTTTGCCTGCTGACAATATCGATGTGCATGCAATTGCAAGTGTTGAAACTTGGAACCCTAGGGACTTCTTTTGCAAATGCTACATACAAAGCCACTTGGTGAGACAGCTGTTTCATGTCTACAGTGAGGTCAAATCTTCCAAGGCTCTCTGGAAAGCATTGAAACAGAAGTACATGATGGTGGACTCAAGGCCCATCATGGAACAAGTACATGAATTTCAAATTAGTTGTCAAGGAATCGCAGATGAAGGAATGAAGATCTGTGAAATTTTTACAGTGATTGATTTGTCGATAAGCTACCTTCTGGCTAGATAGATTTCAGAAACTATCTTGATCACAAGATGAAGTCTCTAACCTTGAAAAATCTGATTTCTAGGTGGAAAAAGGGGTCTTTGTAACGTGAAGGAAAATCCACGCTGCCTGTTAAGCTTGAACAATTTCACTCCCATAATACAAACATGGCAGAGTTCAAGAACAAAGGGAACGAAAAGAGCAACAGGAAATTTTCTCCTTACAAGGATAGGCAAAACAAGTTTTCTCCATGATCATCCACCTCCTTCAAAAAAGAAGCTCCCAAAAAAAAATTTTACTGGGAATTGCAGTTGCTGTCACAAAAAGGGGCACACCTCCACAGAATGTCACATAACTGAGAAAAACCAAAGCTCAAGCAAACTTGGCTGAAGCTGATCTATGTGCGATGGTCACAGAAGTAAACATGGTTGAGGCAAATCCCAAGTCATGGTGGTATGACACTGGTGCAACGAATCATATTTGCATTGAAAGAGACTAGTTCTCCACTTATAAGAAGAGCAAGAATAATGGTCACCTGTTGATCGGAAATGAGTCTCAATACAAGATTGATGGCATAGGCAATGTGGTTTTGAAGATGACTCAGGCAAGGAAGTCACTCTGACCAATGTGAAGCACATGCCAAACATGAGGAAAAACTTGATATCTGAAACCATGATCAACAAGCATGGATTCGCAGTCAACATCGAGTCTGACCAGCTGATCCTTAGGAAATATGGGATTTTTATTGGGAAAGGTTTTGTTAAGGAGGATCTGATCAAAATGTGTGTGACAGTCCTCAAAAATGATGTACCCTCTTCCAGTTCAATTAATTAGAATGCATCTTCTAACTTGGTTGAGTCTTTTGATATTTGGTATGAACGATTAGGACATATGAATTACAAATCGATCCAAAGATTAATGAATTCGAACATAATCTTCAAATGCAAAATAAGTAAACATAAATGTGAGACATGTGTTCAAGAAAAACTCACAAAAACTTCATCACCTCATGTGGAACGAATTACCGAACCTCTAGGCCTTATACACACAGATTTGTGCAAATTAAAGTTAGTCCATTCTGGAGGAGGAAAAAAGTATTTTGTAATTTTCATAGATGATTGTATAAAATACTGCTATATCTATTTACTAAGAAGTAAAGATAAAGTCTTGGAAAAATTCAAAGAATACAATATTGAAGTTTAAAATCAACTCGGAAAAACTATTAAAATAGTTAGAAATGATAGAAGAGGTGAATATGATGGACCATTTAATGTCTTTGCTCAAGAAAAATGCATTATACATCAGACCACTGCTCCATGCTCACCAGAATCTAACAGAGTTGCAGAACACAAAAACCAAACTCTTAATGAAATGATGAATGCAATGTTGTAGGAATCTGAACTACCCCAGAATCTGTGGGGGGAAGCAATTCTCATCACAAACTATATTCTCAATAAAATATCGCTAAAAGTAACTGACAAAACGTCTTATGAACTATGGACATGTGGAGTAACTTCGTATAAGTACCTTAAAGTGTGTGGGGGGAGGGGGGGCTACTGAGCAAAAGTCGATGTGCCACCTTCCAAAAAGGTCACAAAAAGACCAAAAAACTGTTAATTGTATTTTCATTGGATATGCACATAACAGTAGTGCTTATCCATTTCTGGTTTACAAATCAGATGTACTGGATATCCATGTAAATATTATAGTGGAATCAAAGAATGTTTCTCTCTTTGAACATACTTTTCCATGTAAAGATAGGCAAAATCCAAAAAGCCCTCGAGAAGATGAAGGGAGCACATATGGGGTTCCAGATTCTGAAGCAGACAAAGAGAATGAACCTAGACACAGCAAAAGAGAGCGTAAAAAAAAAATCCTTCGGTCCTGACTTCATGATGGTTTTTCTTACAGAGGACAAACCAAGAACATTTAATGAAGCTATGTCTACACCAGATGCACTTTCTCTGGGAGGAAACAGTCAACAGTGAGATGGACTCCATTAAAAAAAATCATACATATGAAATCACTAAGCTATCTGAAGAGTTTAAGGCTCTAGGGTGTCAATGGATTTTCAAAACAAAATTGAAGACCGATGGCTCAGTTGATAAATACAATGCTACAACAAGAAGTTCTGGATTTCTTTGACACGTATTCTCCAATAACAAGAATAACTTCTATCAGAATGCTAATTGGGATTGCAGCCTTAAGAAATTTGGAAATCCATCAGATGGATGTCAAGACTGCCTTTCTAAACGGAGAATTAGAAGAAGAAATATATATGAAATAACCTGAAAGATTTGTAGTTCCGAGACAAGAGTACAAAGTCTGTAAACTTGTGAAGTCAATATATGGATTTAAACAAGCTCCAAAACAATGGCATGAAAAAATTTGACAACGCAATGATGTCAAATGTATGACTTCAGCATCAATGAATGTGATAAATGCATCTACATCAAAAACACTCCTAGCGGGTATATCTTACTATGTTTTTATGTAGATGCATGTTAATTATTGGCAGTAATAATGATAGTATCCAATTAACTAAGAACATGTCAAAT